TGGCATATGAAATGAATGCATAAGTCTGCCGGATGTTAACGTACATTACTGTACAATCCCTGCAACGTGAGTGTGTGAGTTTATCGATAGTTTTGTTGCAGAAGGATACCAGCGGCAGGTATCACATTTACAAACATCGCGCAACATTTTAAATGAAAGCACACTACAAAACTCGCAATTTGTAGTAATTCCAGCTAAACAACACATAATACCATTCTAATCCTAGTCTCATTGTTTCTCGTCACTCGGCGGGGCAGTTAAGTTGGTTTGCAGTTAAATACTCACAGCAGATAATTTACTGTTAACATACAGCGAAGTTTGAAAGCACACGTTACAAAAAGCTTTAAGTAAAGAAATGTATATACAGTTAATAACTTAACGTATTCACACTGAATCTATATTAACAGACAAGCGAACGTCAAACAACGATACTTGTCACTTGAGTAGTGTCAAAAGTCACTTTGCTACTTATAGCTTATTATCACATATTAGGTTCTTATTTTACAGCCGTCATAGTAGTGCTTTCCATACTCGAGTTTTATGGGGCTTCACACCGAACTCTAATATTAGTAATGATTCCTTGAACTATAATAAATTCATTTTTATTTTTAATATTAGAAAAAAATATCTTACGTTAGCGATCATATGCTTTCTGGTAGGGTTGCTGAAACAGCCCTGATAGCGATTATCAAATAGCAGTTCTACCTAGCTATGAGTTAAAAGTTTGTCAGCTAATCTTTTAACTTCATATATTTTGCACAACTTAATTATGAAACATAATTTAACGCACATCTCAGTGACTTTATCCCACACAGATTTCGTTTCAATGCAGCTTTCACAGTTTAGTTCCAGAACAGGCCATCCACCGAGGAAAACACCGTGGAAGTTTCTTCTTCGTAGTTTAGGTCATATAGTTGTACCTCTTTACGCAAGTATCGCCCCCTGCAGGCAGCATGTGTGCTCGTTCGTTGTTTTGTTTTTTATGCCATTGTTCCCGGAAGTTAGTAACATACACTGGCCGCGCCATGAAGATATTGGAACACTAATGTTTGTGATGCTTTTTTGAAAAGACACACACATACCCAGATACCCAGCAATACCTAATTCACTGTAAATTATGTTCTCTTAATGTTATTTTATCCAACATAGAGAATTAGTTGTTGCTCATTTCATGGTGTTAGTGACATTATGGAATCCAGTTTTTCAGCCTGTTTAAAGTCTTTCCACTGGGAGTGTGATCAAATTAATGCTGGACTATGTTCAGGGAAAGGCTATTTCTGTTATATATGGCTATAATTATGAATTCAGAGAGGATATTTGAGATTGGAAGTAAAAAGTCACCAAATTGTTTTTTGTTTGTTTGTTTGTGTATTTTAGCTTTTTCCTGTTGACTGTTACCACCTGTATTTGGTTGCTTCTCAGCTGATAGAAAAATAAAAGTGTACTGGAAGTACAATAAAATTTAAAATATGTCACAAGCTAAACGCTTAAAGTTTTCTACCACTGTATTAGGCGATTCAACACCAAATACAATATTAAAGATGCAAGCAGCAATAAGAGGGTCCTTGCACCCTGGTGCTTGTCCAGGCCAGCCTCAGTCAACTGTGCTGAGGTCAAGCTGAGTGACTATACTCACACAGTCATGTGGTTATTTTCAGTTCAGTACGTTAACTGGGTCTGGCATCATTTACCCTACTGAATACCATCTATGGCCACTAGATGGCAATTGTCTAACCATATGTCACACTGCTGTATATCATGTATGGAACCAACAGTTAAAATTTCATTTATTTTGAATAATTATAACCTACTGCATAGTTCCCTGTTGCCACAAGTTAGTGCCATATGTGTGACACAATATTGACAAATACAATCTAAGTCGCTTGGAAAGAAACTGACTGGACTTCTTTAAGTTTCTTGAAGATGTTTCACCTCTCACCTGAGAAGTTTCTTCAGTTCTGAAAGCAACTGACCATCTTTGAACAAAGGGGGCAGCTTATGACACCAACTGGCTGCCACCTACAATGCAGTTTTAAGGTACCTTCCCAGGCACCTGAGTCCCCATTCACATCTTGTGAGCTCAATGGGTCACATAATAAGGTGGGGCAAGGTCTCACAATGGTTTCACCTGAAACCTCTGCTGTTAATCCTAAAAAGTTGATTCTGCTCGTCTGGACACTATGTAAGGATGAACAGAATCAACTTTTTGGTATTTCACTACCTGGATGATTGAGCATGCATCAAGACTGTGCAGATAATGACAAACAGTCTTTTTTTTTTTACATCTTCTTACATGTGGTGAGGCACATTATTATTGACTAATAGTGGGTCAATGACCCTCTTAAGAGACAATGCTCACTAGGGGTTAATACTTTATTTACAAATGGTTAATCCATCATTTATAAAGTAGAAAAGATAAAGCTGAAAACATAAAAAATTAAACATTTTATAGGGCCTTACTAAGCAAGACTATTCGTATACACCTATATAAGTGACATACTAAGGAGGAACAATACTTTATGATTGAGTTTTAACTAATACTTCTTTAATGCTTAATGTAGATATTATAAAATGCCACCTAGCTTTTTAAATTTTTATTAACTTCTATTTTTTTTAAAAAAAATCAAGTGTATGTGACCTACATTATATTAAAAACATTATAAATTCAGTTTTTACCCAGTTTGAATGAAAAATCATACACAAAATTTGCTTGCTTGTCACAATTTTTATTATTTTTTAACAAGATAAGCTTTATTTTTGAGTACTTTTAGAGAGGACTTTATCAGATGACAATGGAAGAATATCAAAAATAATGTTTTCACATCTGAAAGGTATCATAGTCCTACGTGGGGTCATATGGAGTTTTTCCTGGTATACCCTGAAATGTACATACATGTAAATAACTTCACTTGAGCACTGTTGTGTAATTTTAGACATTCAACAACAGCTGCTGGAATTTCCTGAAATGGAACTCCCCAGCCAAGTTCTATTCTTTTCTATTCTATTCTATTAAAAAGTCAAATTTCTGGCCCATTTTCAAGAATGTAAGTTAACATGTGCTAAAATGTATATCCTTGTAGCTACAAAACCAGTAGTGTGCACTTTTGCTACCACTTAATTTTGCAAGAACTTGAAATTGTTTGATGGTAAAAGTGGCAACAACCTGTCTGAGCAGATTGCTGTTACCTGCCACTGATAAAAATGCCTGGGCATGTCATTCATATGTCTGTTGATGAATATTACATGAAACACTAAAATTTACAACTCCTAGACAATAATTGGAATTCCATTCTGATTTCTATAACTAAGCAAGATATCGGGGAAAAATAATGATAATAATATTTTATTTGAAAATGTGTTCATGTTCATAGTCTTAGGACTGATCAGACTTTAAAGTCCATTGCATGAAAACAAATTAAACAATGTAAAATAAAATAATTTCGCCAAGTAAAACACTGTGAGCACTGCAAGATAAGCATCCATTTTTTTTCTTTTGATCAGTTCTTCAGTCTTCATCCTTGAGCTGTGACCTTTGTAGCTCCTGCATCAGAGCTAGAAAAACAGAGCAATATTCTGGTATAACACAAGATCACAACATACTGTATATGAGTAGTTTCTACATGTATTCCCTAGGTTCATCTGACATATGGATATATACGTTAGAACTCACCTGTGATAATTTCTTCCTTTACTTTGTAGAGTTCCTTTTTTATTTCTTCAAGGATTTCCTTCAAATGCAGACAGAGTATGACGTTTTGCATAAAAGAAGTACATTTTGTTTTAATAAAGAGCCTTATAACTTTATGTGTACAATAGTACAAATCCGGAAACAATGTTAGAGGCTTTGCAACTATAATTTAAGGTTCTTTAGATGAAATGGCTTTATAATGCAAGTCCTGGGAAAAACAAGCAGAGGCTTAGAACACATATTTTACATACTAAATAGCTTCTCTTGTTTCAAAGGAACTAAAATAGTTTTATGTCATCACAGAAAGTTATAGTGTTTACTAAGGAGTTGTAGGATATTGGTGTGTATTTATATAAAGATGGAGGAACAAACCTGTTTAAATTTTTCCATATCACTATCATTTCCTGTACCATCTGAGTTCTTCTTCACCACCTTCATCCTACAAAAGAAAGATACTTTATTACACTGAAGCAAACACAATCAAAGAGGTCATATTTTAGGCCAAACACTTACTTTTATCTTCATGTACGTGTTCCAATAATGTTTCTTTCTTTTAAATTAGTTTGGAGTGCTATGCTACAGAAAGTGGAACACTCACTGAATCAGTTGAGCAGGATAGTGGCAGCATGTCACACTCAATGTGTTTTTCAAAGCAGAAGCAAATGATCACTAATAATTTGGAATTTTATGTGGAAATCTCTAAAACTAAATGGAAGCAAGTTTGAGGCCACCACACTGAAAATATTAATATTTTAAATTAATTATTAAAATATCACATTTTTATATTATTATTATTATTATGTGGGGATGATGCAGATGGCATGCTTGAGGCAACTGTTGTTGTGATATGGCGCTATACAATTGAAATGAATTGTTCTGTCAGACATCAGGTGTCTGTACTGGCCAAGCCTGTTCTTGTAACACACAGTCAGCTAAGATCCCTTTTGCCTAAAATAATACAGCTTTTCAAAAATTGACATGTTTGTTGTTAATATTCAGCAAATATGAAAGTAGTATAAAAGTTCTATATGGTTTTGTGTCACTTTGCATTAAAGTACAAACCATTTTAATGCCTGTATAATACATATATTAAAATAATAAAGTAAGTTTTAATATCCAAGTTAAATAAGTGCATAGACAAGCGGACTAATTATTTGCATTGACAAATATTAATGAGTTCATAAAACTATGGCTGGGTGTAGCTCTCTGGTGTTCCTTTCACTTAATGTTTGCAGTTTTGCGATTACAACAGAGTAAGCTATTTGTACAGTCATGCTCACAGCTCTGCTGGTTATCTGTGAGAACATGTGGTTAAAAACAAAGCATTATCTTTGTCTCAAACATGAGCTGGCCAGGGGAAGCAACACACTTTGGCTACGTATACACGTACACGGGTATTTTTGAAAACAGAGATTTTCCGTTTCCGTTTTAAAAAATAATCCCGTTCAGACGTAAAGGCAGAAATGAAGGAAAACGCTGCTAGGAACATGCCAAAGCAATAAGTGGCGATATATTCCTAACCGTGCTGACATGTTGGACAATCAGAAGTCTCTAAGCCTCGGTGGGAAAAAGTAAAGAAAGCTGGGGCATAGAAGCAGAACCGAGTCGTATGTGTGGAGGGACAGTAACTGTGTGTGTATATGTAAGCATTTAAACACTGCAGAGAGTACAATTAACAGTAACAGTATTGTAGAAATTCATTTCACCAAAACAATAACGTGGCGCACGGTGTGACGTCAAAAAAGGCGCACACCTTTGACGCTGCGTTTTCTGCGTTTTTCTCGTCCACACGTAAATGCAAAAACGGAGTTTTTAAAATATCCACCCTGGCCGGAGTTTTTAAAACTCTCAGTTTTCAGTGACCAAAAACACTGATTACGTGTGGACGAAAGGTGCAAACGCATAGAAAAATCTGCGTTTTCAAAAATACCCAGGTACGTGTGGACGTAGCCTTTGTTTCAGACAGAAACAATAAAAGCAAGCAAGTTGATAGTTAATCTTATGACAGTAAGACAAAGTAGAAAATAGAAATGCAGCACACAGCAACAAACAAAGAAGTATCTCTTTCAGATTGGAATAGATCTTCATTGAATGCATATCATCTTACAAGAGAACCCATGTAGTAGGCAGAGTCAGGGGGGAGACTAGTACCTGGACACTGGAGTAGTGGCAGAGTTTGAACTTGGGCTTGAATCTTTTTGATCGGTGGTTAA